AAGGTGTCAGGGGTTGTTATGATTTTGTCAGGGGCTCTGGTTTCACCATTGATGTAGCTTTCAAGGCCATAACCTCGTATGGCTGCAAGCACTTGTTGTTCCCAGAGAAGATAATTTTCATCAGAGAGTTTGATGCTAATGAGTTGTCCTTGAAGGTGAGTGGTTTGATCTCCAGGGAGAGATCCAGCACCAATAGCAGCATGGGAGTCGGCCATATCAGAATGGGAGTCGGCCATGGTGTTATGGTTAGAAGGTGGGAATCAGAAAACTCTATGGCTCTGATGCCATATTAAAATCGAAGGCAAAAGCATAAAGAACAAGAAAACAATGTGATGAGACAAAAATGTCACCCGGACCCCTCGACTCGGACGGCCACCGTACCTGCAAGAACCCAAAGTCGAGACCCCGGGTGGGGTGCCCGGCTTCGGGCCTCCGATGCTTAAGTCAGTACTCATATCATAGAGAGAGAGAGTAGTATGGAATCAATGGAGAGAGAATGTGTGAAATGAATACCTTAGCCCCCTTTTTATAGGGGGAGTATACCTCATAATCTAAGTTGGGCTTTGGCCTAGGTTGGGCCTGGCCCATCTCATCATATCAAGTGTCTTAGCCTATGTATGGGCGTATTCTTCAGTATATATCCATAAAGACCGGTCGGGTACGACATGCTATATCAGATGCTACCGGTCGAGCCGACAATACTATTCGTGGCTATATCACAATGGTAGGGTTTTAGTGCATTTTTCATTGAACCGAGAATGGTATCATTGTTACATTTTTCTCACTTTCAATTTCCTATTTATACAGTAAGGAATAATCTAGAACAATGGACACTTGTCTAATTTCTACTTGCACATGCTAGAGGACAAACTTCTCTAACAACCTTGCCACCAAGGTGCTCTTGCATAGTACCATGCATGTGGGTGCATGCACGTCCTTTCTCCATTTTGCTGAGTAGATTTCTGTCCCTTTGTGTTTCATTAATCTTAATGACCTTGCTAACAATAGGGAGTGTTACTGTGTCACATTCTTCACAAATTAAAAGGAAAAATATAAGAATGTGATGCATTTAGAAAACTCAAATTAAGGAAATGAGTAATGACTATCTATTTCTGGATTGAGAAAATGAGCTTGGATTACTACTTGCCTATAAGTTTGACGAAGATTCTTCTGCGGTTCATTTTTATTTATACTTTGTGAAATTTACTTAAAACTCACTTGGTCAGTGGTAATATATTAAACTATGTTAGAGAAAATTTATGAAATAAAGTAGTAATGATTAAAATTTATGTGATATAAATATAACATCAATAAAAAAAATAATAAAACAATATGATAGGATTAGTCGTTAGTAATATGAGCAGATGAATAATGTTTGTGTAGGAAAGGGAAAAATTGCACTATTTGTCCATTAATTATACTCGAGTTGCACTTTCGTCCTTTATTTATTTATTTTTTACTTTTGGTACACTATTAGTTTTTTTTTTTTTTGCAATTTTTG